CATCTTCATCTTCATCTTCATCTTCATCTTCATCTTCATCTTCATCTTCATCTTCATCTTCATCTTCATCTTCATCTTCATCTTCATCTTCATCTTCATCTTCATCTTCATCTTCATCTTCATCTTCATCTTCATCTTAATTTAGTTTAATTTTTTGTTAACTAAGCAGATTTTTTCTTAACTAAGACACACTGTACTCTTGTTCCAACTACTATATTTCACTTCAAACTTTATTCACCTTCTGACCTTTAATCATATTTACTCAACATTGACAACTGAATCGTTGGTTGCCGGCACGGCTGCCTGGTGGCGATTAAATTTGTACGCCCGAGGATTTGTTTGAAACCAAAAATAAATAATTTATTTGCCTAGCAGTTTTCAAGGCAATGAAAAAGTCTATGCTCTGTCACAAAAGATGACGCGAACTAAAAGGGCTTGCGCTATGGCGTCGGCATTTGCGTGGTGGCATTGCCACCAAATTCAAATGCGAGTACACCAACCTTTGCATCTGGCGTTTATGCCAACATTCATATTCAAAGAGAAAAGCAGAACAAAATAATGTAGGAAAAAATTTATGCCGAGTGGCTATTACTCCCACAACAACATTGCGGCGCTGCATTGAGTCTACTATAGAAGGAAACGACATTGAAGTATGTCGATTTGCATTTGCATAGGCTTGCGGTGAGTGTGTGTAGTCTGTATTATCCCTGCGTATACCATACACACAGACACCCATACACATTTGCAATTGCAATAACTCCCATACATACCACTATTGGCAGCCGTTGGTCAACGGTGATACTCACCTTTGTAGCGTCCTTCGATGTTCTCCACATAATTCACAGCATTCGGTGGTATTCCTGCGAAAATAATTGCAAGGAAGGAAAAATTAGTGGATTAGGAAAAAATCGCGGCAGGTGTGCGCTTACACAATGAATCATAAAAATTATGCAAACAAAAAGGTGAAAGAAAAAATACATGGAAAAATTAAAATGTATGCAAAAATTTACGCCAGCAATTTTCTCAACCTGAGGCAATGAGTGAATGAAGTTCATTAAAATGCATTCGCCTCCCGCTGCTCGTCGTCGTCATCTACGTCCATAGGCAGTCGGGGTAGAAAATATTTAAATTCAATTACGTCCAAGTGCAGGTGTCTACGTATTTGATTCCAGCGAAGCAGTTAAATATTTTTTTCTATAGTAAATTTTAAGCCGAAATTCAGATGGTATGAATGGTTCAGCCAGCGCAAGTTATTCAGTCTTGGGGTCGCATTCATTGCCACAAATTCGCGGATTATTTTTAAGCTGATTTGATCTTGAATACAAACGCGGTTAAGTTTTGTTTTAATTTAGCATAAAAGACGATTTGTTGAAACTTTGAATACAGGTATGTACTAAAAGCTGATTAACCCTGGAGTGCAATTTTAAATTTAAAAGTAAAAATTTCTTGCTTTAATAGAAGTGATTGTCATTATAACTGAATTAGTATATGGGGCGTTCCGTACCAAAACGGACGGGGTTCACACTTCATGTGCTTGATTTGTTTAAAATTTTTAGGGTTGATGCATAAATATAAATAATAAATAAATATGAAATTTGAGCATGATTAATACTTTTTTAAAAACTTTACAGCACAAAAACAAAAAAAATTCAAAAACACAAGTTTTAAGCGATGGCAAAACTGACGTTAATTATTTTTAATTTTCATTGAAAACGATTTTGCGCATTTTCTTCCATAAGAAAAAAGTGCAAAAGCCGTCAGCATACAAAATTTTCAAAATCAACGCGATTTGGCAGTAACTTAGAACTTGCACTTAATTAAAGTAAAATTTAATAGGCAACAAGACCGCATACTCGAAAAAATTCTAAAAAAAAATTTTAAATTGTACTCATTTTACTCAACTTCGATGTAAAAAAATTCATAACTCAAATTATTGTAGAGCCCACCCCATAATAATATACTTAAATATTGCGCAATACTCAGAGCTACCATTGCAATTTTTTTTTGAGATGGCATATTTTCAAAAAAAAATTTTTTTTATCAAAGAATTGGTATGTAAAAAATTTTTGAAGAATTTTTTTTTTATATTTTTTTTCATAGAGAATTTTGTTTGTTAGTATCTGCCACACATAACCGGATCGCGATTCAATGGAATTGAAATAAATATAATTAGATGCCACTCCATCACTGCATTCAAATGAAATGAACTCCCTAATTTTTGAAAAAAAAAAAATGAAATATGCATGCAATCTTTTTTCGTCTTAAGTTTTTCTGCATCCATAGATGATAACATAATGCTGGAAACAGAGGTTCACTAGCACGGTTTGTAAAAGCCATTAAGTTCACAAAAATCAACAGTAAAAATTAAAAATTGTCGAAGTAATAAATTTTCATAAGGTACCACTTTAACTGGTTATGAATGAATTAATTGCTTCAATTAACTTACGATATAACTTTATGGTGCCATCAGTGTCGCCCAATGAATTTTTTGCCACACAACGATATGCGCCAAATTCAGCTTGCGTCAAGGGATTTATGTGCAATTTCATTGAGCTGCGATATTCGCCAATTTCTGTAACATTCGATGTATATTTGCCACCTGAAAGGAAACAAAAAATGTATAAGCGTTTAGATTAAAAGTATAGAAATTAAAACTTCCCTCAATAATGGGGTAAAAAAATATTTGAAAATATTTAAAAAATACATGAAAATGAACTGCTTGAAAAAAAGCACAAGCTCTGCAGTGCTATACAAACTTGCTGGCTTATGCAAGCTTTATTAGATCTACAGCAATTAGAAGCTGTGAATTAGCATTTAACTACGAAAGGGTCTCATGTAAGGTGTAAGCGAATGTCAAGTGGATAATTACATAAATACGCATATGTATGTGTGCCGTCGTACATATGTCTGTCTGCATACATTTGCTTGTAAGAACATTAGCACCAATTAAAAGTCGCTACAAAAATGCAAATTAAATTATTAGCATTTAAGCAGAGCTTTTTTTTTCCTAGTCTTTACTTCTCACACTTTTTCGCATTTCGCTACAGTTTACATGTGATGATTTTGTTGGCTACCTACGCTCACTGTCCAGTATGTGTGACTGTGTTTGTATGAAGGCATTCGGGTTTTTCGCCCTGCAACCTCCAAAGTAACCACAGAAACCTTGGGCAAAAGCATAGTTAGCACTGTACTTATGCGAAAACACAGACGGATTAGATTCATATATGCATGCAAATCGTAAATTTACAGACACATACATATGTACATACATATTAACACACATTCTGATACACAGATTGGCCTTTGCTGTAGCCACGAAAGTGCAGCCAGTGGAAGAGAGTTGCTGCAAATTCCCAAAACTGTAGCAGTACGGCTACTTTGTTTTATTTTTGTTTACTTTTTTTTTTTTGGTTATTGCGAGCTTATTTGTGTGTGTTTTTGGTTGAAAAAAGTTTTCAGTTAAATCAGTTAATTAAAAAGTTATGTTTGATTCTCATACAACGAAGTGAGGTGGAAAAAGTGTGGTGTCTATGTTAGGCGAATTTTCGTGGTGACGCTTCAATTAGAAGAGCGTTTTAAAAACAAAATATCGAAATTTGTATTTTGTTTCAAATTTTAATAGTGTAATGTTTGAATAATAATAAATAAAAACCGAACAGCGAAGTTGTGACTATTTCGGTTATTCCGCTTCATACTCGTTCAGGGAGATGCGACGGTGTGGTATTGATTTCTTCGAGTGTATATTTGAACTGTGCCAGCAAGGTCTAGAACCACCACCTTTAGAGCCTAGTAATAATCTCCCCTGACCTGCGGTACGCTTTAAGTCAGTAAGTTCTTGAGGTTCTTAAGTACTGGCAAGCCTTCGTTCAGCTGATATCAGGCCCATTTGCCCAAGCGAAATTTTTCTTCAAGGTGAAGCGAAAATTTACTGAAATCCATCTAGTAGTTATAGAGCTTAATCTGCCTGTTTTGTTGAACTCGGCCAAAATCGCTCAGACGGTTACAGCGCCAAATGAGAAGAAGAATATGCAAGAGAAATAATTTTCCAAAATATTCCCAAAAGGATTACATTCGGATCTTTTGTTTGGTCCATTCATGTGGAAGATTCTGACGAGTACCATATTTGATGTTCAGAGTAGCAAAAAGAAGGAATAAAATAATGTAGAACAGTTTTAAGACAAATTTTTAATTAGCATGTGCACTAAAATAAATAAAATAAGTCAAAGCTTTTGTTAGGGTTAATAAAACATAAATGGGGAATGGAAATACTGAAATTAACATATTTAGGTACACCTCTCTAATGGAAATTAACACACTTACCATTAAGCTGTTATTAACCTTAACAAAGGTTTAACTTATTTCATTTTTTTTTATTTTAGTGCATATGCTAAAACACATTTTCTTACTTTATAGTCCAAGATCCGAAAAGGGCACGACCTTCACCCAGCTTTTTAATAGATGAAATCTATTTGGTATGACCTTTAACGTATTACTAAATATTTTACGAGTGGTTTGGCTGAAAATATCCTGGCCAGGATATTTTAATTAAATATTCAAAAATTATTATTATTTTTTTTTTAATTTTGCACTCATTTGTTTAATGAGCAAATTATATACTAATCGAAAGTATTAAGCCAACCCACTCGCGAAATATTTACTAATACGTTAAATGTCATACAAAATAGATTTCATCCACTAAACAGATGGGTGAAGATCGTGGCTAAGGTGATTAACTCGACTTTTCCAAACCGGTTTTACCGGTTTTTCGGTTCACTGTTGTTTTTTTTGAAATACTGATTTTTCGAATTTCGAATAAAGCGGATTTTTTTTTTAATGAGCAAACCGATTTTTTCATTTCATACAAAGCTTAAAGTTTTCAGTTTTTCGAAGTTTTCAAGGCTTTTTTCATTTTAAGGAAAACTCATAAATAATTTTAAAATTATGTCCTAGGTTATTTGGGGATAAACATATCATATTTAATTGCATTAAATGATTTTTTGGCGCCGAAACTTTTTCTACGTGTTTGGCCGATCTTTTCCTCCAACTCGGGTTCTGGTTCTTGATGTTGTGACACAAATTGAAAACCAAAGAATTTTTTTTTATGACATATGTACACTCGTAGGTTTGCCATTGCCTGCCGAGGGGCGAACGCCATTTAAAAAAATGTATTCGATTTTGCTGGGACTAGAAATAGAGCTGAGTGGCGATAGGCAGATCTAAGCATTTGGCTACGGCGGCAAGAGCTTTTGATCTAAAAAAACTTTGAACTTATTTTGCTTTTCTCTTTTTTCTAAATAAAGGCTACCTTTTTTTAACATTTTCACTGTACGAAAACTAAGTAAATATTCTTAATTTCACAATCGGGAACCGTTTGTTTTTTCAAATTGCAATTTTTCGAATAACTCGAAAACCAGTTTTGGAAAAAGGCGAATAATCGAAAACCCTAGTCGTGTCCTATTCGGATCTTCTATTATTATTTTATTTTGAACTTTTTAGTTAGAGTTTTCCTCAGATGGAAGTTTTCAATCGATTTCAATTCAGGTACATAAGTAGCAGATATGTATTTTGAACATGAACCAAATCAGACCATAGCGCGCCAACTACCGGACAATTTTTTCTTGGAATTATTTCTATTTATGTAAGTAATGTACATTTCAAAGATGAATGAAATCAGATCGTAATTGCGGGGTATTCAAATATGTGAACTCCAGCGCCACCTAGCGGATTAATTCGCTTCAGTTATTTTACATTGCATTGCCTTGATAACCAAATGTGTGTGCCAATTTTCAGCCCGAAGGCTGCAGTGGAAGTGGATGAAATATTAATGGAATATTGCGGTTCCAGGGCATATGCATATACAACTTAAGTTAAATAAAAGTTTGTAAAAAGGTTTTCCTGACTGACCGCTTATAGAGTAATATTTCAAGTCATTCAAATTCCAGAGATATATATGGATGTAGTTATCTGTGATCTGATATCCTTATACATACATACATACTTCTTCTATAGCAGTTTAGTATCCAATCAGCTGCTTTCTTAATGATTACTACCGCCGAGTGAAACTTTCTACAGCTCTTTCGAGTCTTTTATCAGGCTACCTCTGTCTTTCATTCATAAATTTCACTGGTATATATACTTAAATATAGCATTTGTGAGATAATACATATAAACATTTAGGGCTGGTTTCTTCAACTCAACTTAACTTAGTTTAGCCATGTCTTGGACCTATAATTTTCACCATCTAGGCTAAGCCAAGAGTTAGCCTACGTTTTAATCAGCTTATTCTTGACTAAGTCCTAAAAATGGCTAAAATAAGCTAAGTTGAGTTGGAGAAAGCCGTAGCCCGTAGTCTTTGTTGTTGTCAGGAACGAAGTCGGAGCTTCCAAGTTTATTCGCATGTACGACAAAGACAAAGTCTTTTCGAGACATTTTTACGAGGACCTCACAGAACATTAAGGGCTTGGCTCCTCAGAAAACGCAAAGCAAATGTTTTATTTTAGGAAGCGTAAGGAAATACATATCGTTGCCTTAATATAGAAAGGCCCTATCTGACATCGTCGCTGATTTACAAAAAGTCGTAACTAACTAAAAATCGAAAATTTTCGTTTTAATTGATTATGATGCATTTGATCGAATTATGTGGCCTCACATCGTTTTATGCAATAAAAGATTTTAGTTAGTTACGGCTTTGTGCATTTCAGCGACGATGTGAGATAGGGCCTTTCTATATTAAGGCAACGATATATTTGTATGCCTGTATAAAAGTAAATATTTTTATGAAAGTGAAACCAACAATAATGGTCATGGAAGAAAATGTGCCATACTATATTCGCAGGAAAGAATAACATTATATCCACAGCATCCATAAAAATTACTTCCTCCTCCACGTGGCAAAATATGTACATATCCACTTGCTATCAGCAACAATGCTATGTATACATTTATATGTACTTAATTAGAAAGTTCATCTGCGGCTTTCATGCATATGAAATGAATCTGTATTGCTTACTACTCGTAGTAGTTATGAATGCACACATGCACATCACTGCAGGTTTGCGTTGCATTGTTTATTTTACGAGTAAATTTTACGGAATGTGACAACCTTCCGAGGTGTGGTTAGGTTTATGTATTTTGGTTGCGGTGGTGATTGCAATGATGTAGCTATTTTTGTAAATACATAAATATTTTTAATTATTTGTTGCCATTTTCCCTATGAGTGTGTGTGTGTGTGTGAGTGTTGTGTATGTGTGTGTGTGTGCACATCACTTACGCTCATGTTGAGGTGTCAACGTGTGGACATTTGCGCTATGGCAGTTATGCTTGAACTTTTCCACACATTGTCTTGACAGTGATTTTAATTACATAGTTATATCATCGCTGGCACATATATTATGTGAACTCGGTGAGCGTGTGCATGCATTTATGATTTTAATTAAGTTTGCAACTGAATTGTGGCATAGTTAATTGGCAGGGGAAAAAGTTTACAGTTAAACATTTTCGTCACAAAAAATTACTAGTGCTAAATGAGAGATATTTCCCTGCAATCTTTTATCGATCTGCGGTGATAACAGGGGCTACAATTTTTGTTTGTCTCTGTACTCTGACTTTTACGAAGTTCCTGTTTTTAATTAAAAAATTACATTTTATTTTTATTTCTGCTTATTTACTCACCTGGTGGCACTATATCCCCGCGTTCTCTCGTCCAGTAATTAATTGACTTAGGAAAGGCTTCGGATTGGCATTCCAGTGAAACACCTTTACTTTCCACTGCACCGATTAGCTGATTTTGCACTGTAATCATTGGCGGGACTGAAACAAAACGAAAATAAATATTTAGCTTAGATATTAAATGTGAATTAAATAATAAATCTAGGGTATGTTTGTGATTTAATAAGTTAAATAAAATATTACAAAAATATGACTATCAAAAAAAAGAGGCTAAAAACGATTGGTTTCGAAAATATTTTTGAAGAGTGTTGCCCCTTATAATTAATTAGTTAAAAAATATTACAAAAGGGGCTCAGAGTGCAAAATTTTAATATAAAAATATATATGTATAACCAGCGATGAATAAAAAAGCTTCTATCGTGCTCTTTTCGGCCACTTAACGTTTCTTTTGGGGTCCGACCATTTGGTAAATAATTAAGACTTTGCTAAGTTAACTGTAACTTAGCAAAACATTCATTCAATGAAGTCTTTTTACTACTTATCTGCGCTTCTTTTTTTGGGCTTTTTTTGTGCTTTCAAAATATTGCCCAGTAAACATTGAAAACCCGCTTGACGTCACGCTATCTGGCGCACTTCTTAAACTTTAGTCGAACACGGATAACAATTATTGAAAAATTGCGTGCTATTTTTGGGCTTTTTAGAGTCACCAAAATAATCATAGCAGCTCTTCCAGTTTCCGAGATAATTAATACTTTGCTGGGTTAACTGTAACTTAGCAGAACATCCATTCAGTGAAGACTTTTTACTGCTTACCTGGGTTTATTATTTTGGGGTTTTTATGTGCTTTGCAAATATTACCCGTTGATCATTGAAAGTTCGCTAAAAATATTGCCCAGTTAACATTGAAAAATCGCTTGACGTCGAACACGGATAAATATTATTGACATGAAAAGTTCTATTTAGCTACGCTTTTTATTACTTTATGTCTAAACGGTTGGTATTCTGCACCACGGCTACTTCGGACTATTTCTGTCTAAATCCTTGAGTACGGGAACAGGCTAAATGTGAATAAAAAAAAGTAAACAAACAAATGTCAAATTAAACTCTGAGTTTATTAAACACCCCAATGAGTACACTTGACAGTTGTTTATAAACTTAAAACGTTAAAGTCTTCACTTAGTAGATGTTTCGCTAAGTTACATTTAACCCAGTAAAGTCTTAATTATCCCGGAGTGAGCACCTTAAATAATTTTGACGGCCCTAAAAAGCCCCTAAATATCACCTAATTCCACAGCAATATTTATCCGTGTTCGACCAAAGTTTAAAAAGATGGTCGGCTACCGTGACGTCAAGCGATTTTTCGATGTTTACTGGGCAATATTTTTAGCCATTTTTCAATGTTCAACGGGCAATATTTGCAAAGCACATATTGCAAAAGCCCAAAATAATAAAACCAGATAAGCAGTAAAAAGTCTGGATGGATGTTCTGCTAAGTTACAGTTAACCCAGCAAAGTCTTAATTATCTCGGAAACTGGAAGAGCTGCTATAATTATTGTGGTGACTCTAAAAAGCCCAAAAATAGCACGTAATTCCTTAATAATATTTATCAGTGTTCGACCAAAGTTTAAAAAGTGGGCCAGATAGCGTGACGTCAAGCGGGTTTTCAATGTTTACTGGGCAATATTTTGAAAGCACATAAATAGCCCAAAAAAATTAGCCCAAATAAGTAGTAAAAAGACTTCATTGAGTGAATGTTTTGCTAAGTTACGGTTAACTTAGTAAAGTCTTAATTATTTACCAAATGGTCGGAGCCCAAAAAAAAGAAAAGTGGCCGATAATAGCACACAATGAGCACAATAATACGAACGAATTTTTTCTTCAATTTTTCATTTCAGTGCCGCTAAATTGATTGAGCTAGATTGTCCCATGCAGCTAAAACAACTAAAGTCACTCATACGCAGTGCTGTACGATATCTTCTTCTAAATATATAAAATAATAGCCATTTTCGTTGTTCGGAGTTAACTCAACTACATAGATTTCAGTAAAATTTTCAGAGGTTATACCCTGAGTATATGGTCCTATTATAGGCTATCAGAAAACTCGCTAGGTGGCGCTGGGGTCGAGTTATTTATAAAAATCGTATTTATGAACCGATTTCTTTTAAATTTAAAACGTAAGCTAGCAGCAAGATGGAAAACACGTTTACCAAAAATAGACTAGCTAGGTGGCGCAGGAGTCGAGTTATTTATAAAAGTCGTATTTATAAACGGATTTGTTTCAAATTCAAAAGGTATAATTCCAGCATAATGGAAATTACGTTTACCAAAAACGGAGCCGCTAGGTGGCGCGGGAGGCGAGTTATTTATAAAAGTTGTATTTATGAACCGAGTTCGTAAGCACGATGAAAAAAGCACTTGCGAAAAACGGACCGGCTGGGTGGTGCTGGAGTCGAGTTATTTATAAAAGCCGTATGTATGAACGTATTTTGTTAATACACATTCGAAACGTTTATTACTTTCATGATGATTTTTTTCATCTTCCCTGAATCGGTTCACTTTTCGCTTTGGGTTTCTATGTACTTACATTTCGCGTGAATTTTTTTCTCGGACGAAACTCAGGATAAGGAAGATTACACACATAAAATGATAGCCATTTACGTTTTTCGGACTAAACTCAAAAACCACTCAATAGAGCCCAGTCAAATTGTCGGAGGTCCTATTATAGGCTACTAGAAAACACGTTGGTGGCGCTGGAGTAGAGTTACTTATAAAAGTATTTATTAACAGATTTCGTTCAAATTCGCATCGTATGTATGATGAAAAATTCCTTTGCTAAAAGTGGACCCGCCGGAGTTTAGGTATTTAGAAAATCCGTATTTTTTATAAAATCTGATTGCATTTCATAATCCGTATTCATTTCATGACAAGCAAAGGTTTTGCAGAAAAGGGACCTAATGGATGACGCTGCACCCGAAATATATAGAAACCCCCACTGGGTTTGTTCTGCTTTGGCCCTATGTTTATCTTAGACGAATTTACTTTTCCGTTGGCTAAAGCAAGGATGCGTTTAAGTATGCATTTAAAGACCGTAACACTGTGTAAGTGTGATCTTGCATCTACTTCTGATTGACGAAGTTGCTCGAGGCGGTCGTTGTTACAGCAGTAAGACTCAAAGGAACCAATTCATAAGTATTAATACGAAATGTAAAAGTGGCGAATTGACAAGGAAATATTCGACCACATCTGTCCAAGAATCACAGCGCTACTATTCTCGGCATATGTGTGAGGAGGATTCCGATTTTCAGTCGTTTCAATTTAAACTAAAAATCTTTACTTTTCTCTTTTAATTGTTTTTAAAGAGATTAGGCGCCGCGAAGCAAGCGGGCATTTGCTAGTACTATATAAAAGAATAGGTGTATCAAAGGACACCAGGACGTATGAGTGACGTTAATAAACTTAAAATTTCTCATAATCAAATGCCTAAATTTTCTTTTAATAAAATATCACATAATTACTTACAGTGTACAATCAGCGTTATTCGTTTGCTCACTGATGGCGGCACACCATTCGATGCTATGCAAAGATAGGCGCCCATATGCTGCCGCTTTACCCGCGGCAAAACTAAATTAACACCTTCGATGCTGAGCACTGCAATTAAAAAAGAAAGAAAACGATGAAAAAAAGGTTTTCAGTTGTTTGATATGCCTTTTAATGCGACGTACGCTGTAGAAAATAAATGAAAAACAAATGTGATGAGCCTGCCTGACCAAAACAGTACGAAATTACTTTAAAAACATCAATGTTTGTTTCTTAAAGCGAGCTCAATAAAACGTACGCTAAATTCTATGGTAATTTTGTACAGAGTATTGAGCCTAAGAAGAGAAAGCAAAATAATCCAAGAAAATTATCAAATCGTAGGAAAATCTTTGGAACTATATGTAACTAAGTAGGTATTTAAACTAAAGAAATTTGACAATTTGTTAAAGCATCTTTTCTCCGCAGCTTTCCCATTATGTTAAGATATTTTTTTTTTTATTAAATTCGCTTCCACATAGTATTTTTAAAATGGCACACATTTTTCGTAATTTAAAAAGTATTTGTGGTCCGATTATATCGAGCCCTAGTGCAATATTTCTGCATCAAAACGAAAATTTTGAAACAAAATTTCGTTTTTTTTTGTTGATTTTGATAACAACATTTATAGATAAGAGAAAAAGTAAGTTTCAGGTTTTTATCTAAATTCCTAGTAGCCCAAACTGGACCCACTATAGAACGAAAAACCCTGTTTATTACTCAGAAGTCCTTAATACGTTGAACAAAAGCCTCCATAAGTCCAATGCTCTGAGGTTCTTAGTTTACGAGCGACAACCTGTCAAATATGAACTTTTTTACATATCTTGCAAAATTTGAAGGAAATTAGCCGAAAGTCATTTCCCATATGAATTCTGTGGGGTCCTTTGCGATTGTGGACAGGGCTCCATAGCTTTTAGTTTATAGATTGAAATTTTACCCTTTCAGGACCAAGGGAAACATACCTATTATTGTATGAGTTTTCAGTAGTTATATATATTTTTTTTTATTTTGAGGATGCACCTCATTCAAATATTTTTCTCTAGAATTTCAGCAATTTTTTTTTCTGAAAATTATAAAAATTTATCGAAATATGAATTTTTATTGGAGAATTTTTACTTAATAAAAAAAATTGTGTTCTAAGAAAAAATATTAAAAAAAAAATTAATTATTTAGGAGAAAAGCTTTTGAGGAAAGAAATATGTATGTCTACTCATTTTCAAAAAAAATTTACCAAACATTAGAAACAAGAAATATTGCTTAAATTTTTATTTTTATTTTTTTTTTTTTTAAGAAAAGTAAGTACATATTTTTTGAAAAAACTATTTTGATTTAATTTTTACGCAAAAACTATTTTTGTAAGAAAATTGTGCATTACGTATCATAAATACAAAAAATTAATTTAGGAGAAATAGGCTCAACGTAGAAAAAATTTACCAAACATAAAAACAATTTTTTTTTTGGTAGAATAAAATTACTTTCCCGTCTCAAAATATTTTTTGAGGGAAAAAATTATGTTTAGAAAAAATAAACACTCTTAAACGTTTATTTTTTAGGATAAAAATTTTGCGAAAATAAGTATTTTTTTGGAAAATTTGATGCAGAAATGCATCTATGTAATAATAATAATAATAGATTGGCGCTTACACATATGTTAGTGTTTGAGGTTTGCCATTGCCTGCCGCGGGACGACCGCTGTTAAGAAAAAACCTTTTTTCTATACTTTTTGCGATGTTGCTTTGACCAGGGCTTGAACTCAGGCGCTGCGGAGTGGAAGCGCGCTCTGCTTGCCACTATACCACAGCGGCCGTTAATATTAGGAATATTTCCGCATGAAAAATAAAAATTTGAAAAAAATGTCGCTTACGTTATTTTGGCGGTTAGGGCTCGATATGAATAACTCGACAGCGAAAAAAAAATCTTTTAGGAGCTTTAAAATTTTAACTTTTTAATAGCCAACCGTGAGTTAACTTCCCATTTCTTTAAAAGTGCAGGTCACAGTATTTCCAAATATACATAATACATGTCGTTACCTTAATATAGAAAGGTCCTAACTCATATAGTCGTCGTTGAAATGCAAAAAACCGTAAATAACTAAATTTTTTTTATAGCTTAAAACGATATGGGGACTTATAATTCGATGATATGTATCATAATCCATAAAAAAGTGAATTTTGAATATCTAGATAGTTACGGCTTTTTATATTTTAGCCACGATGTGAGATAGGGCTTTCTATGCTCTCCAATATCTATGCTCCCAATAATTTTTTAACTTTGAGCTAAGTTTTTATATGACGAGTTGTCTCCTACAAATGCTGCTCACATGCCGCTCATTGCGTTGCCACCACAATAATATTTCAAACAGGCTAACAGGTAAGTATACCACTATTCGTGCATAGCTTGATAGATACTCCTAATTAAGTTTTTCCATATTTTAAAAATATAAAATAAAATAGTTCGCTTAAAACAAATAGAAAAACGAATAGGTAGTTGAATAACAAAAATAAACACAAATCAAAATTCGCCTCCAAATTGCGGTTTTACAGAAATGTACTATGTATATGAATATGAATATGTGGCAATAATCCTAGTTATATGTATACGCAGCTCATGCGTTATCTAACAACGAAATCAAATTAAAAATTTACGAAAGTATCTAACGAGATACAAAAACAAAAAGAAAAAGCTAAATGCAAAATAGGTAAAATTAAGGTCGATATTGTCAGCTGTGAATTCTCCATGAAATTTGCATGTGTAAACCGGCCATTGCTCTTTTAGCAGTTACCGCTTTTGTGAAAATTCTCTAGAATACAATAAAGTAAGCGTCACACACGGCAATTTGTGCGCTTGATTGTGCACACAGCCGAGCACAGGCAAATATTAGTTAGGCTCCACGTAATGGTCGTACTCGTTGTTGTTGCTGTTGTTGTAAGAATTTAGAAAATAATGTTATTCGCATGGTAACATACAAAAAAGACTACAAAAAAAACAATACTAACTAACTAACAACAAGTGCATAATGGCTATAATAACAGTTGGCACAGTTTTAGCCAAACAATAAAATGCACCTACATTCACACATATGTATGTACATAAGCACATGCCCTACAAGACATTGCTGAGCACTTTAGGCAAAAATTCTAACACATTTACAGTTTTGTTTTTGTAGTACGGCATAAATGAGTAGTTTGACTATTAGCACTGAGGACTTTCTGATGACAACATTGAGGGGAAAGTACTCAATTTTTTCCCATGGCCTGAACGAAAATGAGGACTTTGATAAGCACTTTTGTGATTAGGGATAATGATAATATGAGTACTCATATGATACTCAGCTGTCTTGTAGGGTGGTAATGTGAAGTTAAATGTGTGCATGTGTGTATATTTATGCGAATAAACACAAAAAATATTGCAACCCATTTGTACGGTTGCATTGAGTGGCTTATGACTTGCTAACAAGCTTCTACTCGTTTACATATAAACTTTGATACGCATACTTACATACATATGTTCCGCTATAAGTATGTGCATACCCAGCAGGGCAAACTACTATTTAAATGTGAATTAGAATTCTACCAGTTAGCTTTTGAACTCAATTAGTTCGTCATCCAACCATTTTGCATGCCAGCGGTAGATATTTTTGTTGTTTGGCTATGCATCAGCACATACCAGTATTAATATTAGTAGACTCATACCAGTTTACGGGATAAGCTGCCGACTCATTAAGCATGAAAGGAATATATAAAGTCATTTTGCCTGCGCCGCTCGCAATGGCCAAGTGAGCAAAGCACTAGCGCATATTTTTTAAATAAATTTTTTGCTGTAATTTTTAAACTTTGTTGTTTTAAAGATAATAATATATATATTTTTAAATTTAATGAAACCCTCATGATTTTTTGGATCCAGGTTTACTTCCAATTGAAATTAAATTAAAATTTTTAAGCTTTATAAGCATATAAACTGAAATAATGAGCATTATTTACCATTGATGTAAATTTAAAAATCGCAACCACCTCCAATTGTATGCGAACCTGTAATCCCAAAACAAGATGTCACAGTCTACACTTGCACTGAGCCAAAAGCACAATGTTTTTTTCAACCAAGTTATGGTTATGGTTTTTTCATGGTCAATAAGCCGATTGTAAGAAATGTGATCCAATTTGAAAATTTGAGAACCAATTTGTATATATGGCAGTGGCTAAACGAGCAGAGGGGCTTGCTGTTATTTGCTGGCTTCAAGCAGTACGAATGCCGTCAACGCGATACATAATTTTTATATTTTTTCTGTTTTTGGTTTTTTTTTTTTTAAATACGAAAAAGCCTCTGTGAAGTGCAGAACCAAATCAAACGACGACGAAAATTGATTCAAGTTCAACATGTGAAGACACATGTATAAATGTTTGCTGTTATTTGCTAATCCCATCAGAGGCAATATGTTAAAATGATAATTACAATTTTTGTTTTGTATCTCCGAATTATGAAAAAGCATCTGTGAAGTGCAAAACATAAACGTATTTATACGAGAAATCGCCAACCACAAGTTTGGTTAATATAAACAAAATTGTGGTTAATATTACCAAATCATTGTTGAAAATATGAACCTTTTCAAGTTTTAATTTGGTAAATATTATTGGTTGATTTTTCTCTCAGTGTGGGAGAAAGGCCATTCATTGCTTTTTAGTTTTGGCTTTGACACTTAAAAGGTAGTCACTTAGAAATTGTCGTACTGGTAGGCCACCGTTTTAGCTCACTCCAGTTCATGTACCAGTATTTTCACTGACTGATTTGAATTTTTACTGCAGGGTATGGATATACATTTTGGTATTAGGCACTCGATAACAGTGACATTTTTGTTTGAGTAGTCGTGTGATTTTATGCATTTGCGAATTTTATTGCGGTTAATGCCAACGAACTTTATGTTGCTTTGTGATAAATTTTTGAGTGCTTTTGGGGGGCGGGGGACTTATGCAAATATCCTTAATATTAAAAAGTGTTTGCTCTCAACTTAAATAATCAAGAAAACAAAGCACATATACTTATAATTCTATATAGAATCTTCGCTACTTGGGCGAAACATT